GTATGTATCTATGATATAATACGAAGCATAGAAATAATCAATCACTGGTGAAGCTAACTTCCTAATAATAGATTGATACAGATGAGTAATCACCGGAAAATATGATTCTAATCCTTAAGAAATTTTACCATACTCCAGTGATCAGACCCTTAACCATTTCCTTAACTCCTTTACTGCCTTCCAACTTTTTTTCTTGACCAACAAACTTCAATATTTAGTAAAATTTAGAGGTATTTAGATAAAAAAATAAGCACATAGTTAGTTCGTTAAGCAGCACTAATTTCCATGTTCATTTCATTCAGTAATGAAAGCAAAAATACAAAATTAAATAGTTTTGATGCTATCCGTTTGAGAAATTTTTTCGATTTTTTAGTAACTTCTAAGTGTATGAAACCAATACTGCTGGCCTTAATGACAATCAAAGCATTTGATTCTCCATTGGAAAAAAATTTTTTTTTTTTGCAATTTTCAGTCAATTTACGGCAAAAACTGTTAAAAAATGAGATAATTATTAGACGATTGTCATCATCAAAAAACTTACTTATATAGATCAATGGCATCACACCGTGAAATTTCGCTGCTTCTGGAACTGTTTAGCCCGGGTTGTGAGGCTCCGGCAGTTGCAAAATATGCTGCATTATTGTAGCTAAAATTTTTATTAGTTTCTTTAATATTAGAACAGCAAAGAAAAAAAGCTAGGAAATAAGGAGTGCTTTTTTCTGCCAGCTAAAATCTAAGTATAAGCTGAATGAATTAAAAAATTCAAATTTACTAAAAATAAGGTTAAGTTAATAAGTTACCTGATACTATGATCCACCGTACCTGGCGATGGTATTGGCGGCAAAGGAGTAGCAACATTTGGCCTGCAAATACTTGATTAATATTCCTAATAATTTCTAAACCTTTAATTTTACAATAACATTATACTAAATTAATTGATAAAAAATTGTTCCAAAAATCAAATCAAATTCATTTAGAGCAAGTAAATTTTAAATTCTTAACTCGTACCTGGTGACATTAACTGGAGAACTGACAGCGACATTTGCCTTAGAAAAACCATTGCTTGACAGATGTTTGTTGACGCTAAAATTGACAACAAAAAACATATTAAACGTTTCACTTTTTTCTTTTTTACAATAAAATTATTCATAACACCTCATTAATAAATAGAAATATTTAATCCTAAGACTATAATATTGACAGCAAAAATAAAACAAGAAAAAAAAAAGCAATTAAAATGCCAAAAAAACTTCTCTTACGCAGCTCTTGATTCCGATTCTCTCAAGAACGGTTTCATCCGTTCAACAAATGAGGCTAACGTTGAACTGACAGAAAATTTCCTTGCAATGAGCATAATAAACAGCACGATTGGAATCAAACGAAGTGCCATCAAACCCCACAGAAGGCGCTTTGAAACAAACGTTGATGTTACTGCAGATTCGCAAGTATTCTGAAAATTTTCAAGTGATAAATTTTTTTCAATTTGCAAAATTGCATAAACAGTTGTTCAAAATTAGCAACACTGATAATGGCTGTTATGATGACAGACCCTTCTGAACTGAGGTTCGGCTCTGACATCGAAAGTACATCGTAGCTGATGTTCAATTGGGTCCACACCTTGCGGATTATGCGGTAAGGCTTCGGTCAATAATTTTTTAGCATTTGCAGCCAATGATGTCGAATACGGAAACAGTGCAAAAGAGAAGATGTGAATTTCGGCAATACAATAAAAAAATGTAATCCCAAAAAGAACCTGAAAATGAGTAATTTTCTTGAAAAAAAAATGAAAAACAAGTGGGAAACTTCTGGTTTCTCACTTGCTTGAATTCCTTCAACTTCTTAAATTTGTAATTAAAAAGTCGAAAACAAAAAGCATATTATTTTTTTTCTTTAAAAACAATGTAAAAATGTTTACAAACCCAAAAAGCTGTAAATGCTTTTCCCTTACTGACATCAACAGTAAAGTACAGAAGTAACGATAACGCTAATAATACCAAGCAGCCCAAATCAGCAAAAAAGAAAGTCCATAGTATAGTTTTATACTGAAATATTAGACAGAAAACTTTTGCATTAAATTATTAGGTAAAAATTATTTCAAATAAAACTTTTTTTTGTTCATATAAACTGAAAAACCGCAGTAAAAATTTAAAAAAACAATAAAACTTCATTTTTCATATTTTATTAGAATAGTTAAGCTTATGAGAAATGACTATACTTAACGCTAATCTAATCAGTTAGCCAAATTAAGAAAAATGTAAAAAAATTATCTGAAGCGGAAAATTTTTGGCAAGATAAGCTATTTGGCAAACAAAAGTTGGTGACAAGTCACTGCCGAAACTTCCAAATGTTTAATGAAAGTAACTTGGGGTTTTTTTTTATTAATGATCATCTGAACATTTGAAACAAAAACCCCAACCCCTAACAAAAAATGATTTTGATCAGATGAAAAATTTTTTTGCACTTCATGCAAATAGAAAATTGAAAAGGGTGAAGTGAATCAGAAGAAATGCTGCTTACAGTTCTGTGCGTTCCAAGTGCTTCCAAATCTTGCTCTTCCAGGTGGAATTGCCGTATCGGATTGTTGTAATTAATCTTACTGATTGCTTCAGTTTTTTGTAAATAAATCACCAATTCATCATATAGATTCTTTTCTCTCCAAAGATGTACAAACAGGCATAAACTTGATATTAATACTGTCAGTACCAACAGTAAGCAGAGCAATGCAGCCAATGATTCACGCCATGTTGCTCGACGCTAAAATTCATTTTTACAATACACTGAACAAATTTTAGAGCACCGTTAGCAATATATCTGCTTCATAATTGAACTAAATAATCTCCTTTTTGCTTAAAAATAGTATTTTTAATTTCCTTTAAAAAAATGGAATTATATTAGCCGCCAAACAACAGTGCAAAAATGATTTGTCAAGCAGAAGTACATGTGTAGAAAGATTTTATTTTTCTTCTGCTATATCGCCTACCTTGCCGGTACTTTCTATTCGGGGTGGCAATGGAGGTCCAAGCCCCGCCATCATATTTCCAAATTCGTTCTTACTCTTCTTGTTCTTCTTCAAATAATTACCAACGGTGACAGTTTATACTGAAGAAGTATTTCATGAAAATTTAACCAAGTCATAATAAACAATAGTCTGATATGTCGTCGGTTTTTTTTTTTTTTGTGTGTGTGTAGTCAAACATTGTTCAAACAATAAAGCAATCAAATACATAATTTTTGAAACAGCAATAAACTTAAAAATAGCAACAAAACTAACAACAATAACAGTTATTACACTATATTATATAGAAAATTAACAACTGTCAAAATAACTTATAAATAATTCCGTTAAATACGTCGAAAAAAAAAAAGAAAAAGTGGCAAGAGCGAAATATTTGTGAACAAAAAAAACTGTTATACAAAATTAATTGTCAGTGATGAAACTCAAATGAAGAAGGCAACAATTCCAAAGAAAAAAAAAAAAGCCCCCGTTTTCGCTGTCGTTGTTGTTCACAACCGTCAACAGCTACCAATAATTGGTGTTGAAAACCATTAGAAAATACAAGGTTATTCATTTGTTTAAAAGACTGATGAAAAACTACACCCCACTAAGTTTTTCAACTACAACAACAAATCCGTTAAATCAGTGATACTTGCCAATGTAAAAACGGGGAAAAAAATGGCAAAAAAAAGAGAGAACAGGCAAAAAAATTTGACGGCAAACATCTAAAACTCATTAGGAAGAAAAAAAAAAAAACAATTCGTAAAAAAGAGGCAGGTAAAACATAAAACAGCAAAAAAAAATTTTTTTTTCGTTTAAATAAACAAATATAAATAAAATTGCAAATAAAAATAAAAATAAAAATAAAAATGTAGCTGAAATTATATGCCATCGTAATAAATTTTTCTTGTGAAAGAAGAAGCGATTGTATCAGTAAAGTTCGGCGACGACAACACTAATAACAAAACACGGCGTCCTTCTGAAATTGGAATCTATTTTGCAGACCTAATGCTGCACCATTTGGAAACTGTTCGAAAAAAAAAATCACCCTTACCTCTCAAAAAAACAAAGAAAAAGAATAAAGTGACTATTTGACAACATTTTTTTAGTACCAAACAAAAATAATTCTCTATCATCAATTATCCTTAAACACAAATTGAGTCGAAAATAAATTTTTTTTTTTTTTGATTTTCACTAAATTTGGACGAGTGCTTCTTCCACTGGGCATCTGTATTCAGAAACACAAATGCAAAACTTGTTAAAAACATTCATTGTTAAGCCAATAAAACTGAGGATTATCCGCAGCTATGACGTTGATTTTATAAACCATTAAACAACTGTTAGCTTTTTCTAGGGGAAAAAAAAAAGACCTATTTTTGGGATTTAACGAGGGAAAACCAGTCTAACGTTATCCCACGTGAAGCTCAATCGATCAATCTAGTTGATAACTCTTTGTTTTTTTTCTTATTTTAGATTCAAAAAAGTCCTAGTTCCTGTTTCCAAAAAAGTTTTTATTTTCTCTTTCCTTAGATCGTATTTATTTATCCAAATAAAGGTTAATGTGATGCATAATTGGCGAAAGGTTTAGTTGAAACGACCAATGCTGTTGGTTTATTACAAAGATACAGCTGTAAATATCAACGCTTCATTTAGGTTAATTGTTCTTTTTTAGGACAACACCATCATCATTACCACCACTATCAATATTAGCAACAACAACAACAAAATCCTTCAGCTACTGTCATCATCCTCACAAAACAATATTTGAAAAAGTTCTAAAATTTTTCTTTTCTTGTTTCATTTTTTTTTGGCTCAATCTTTTCTTTAGCCATACTGTCATGTTTAATCAAACGTAATCTACTTAGAAAAAAAACACAAAAAATTTATGTGCCTTTTGAAAGTCATTGATTGACTACTTGTTTTCTATCAATTCTGCCACTCTCAAAGAAATTGACACAATAAAAAAGAAAAAAACAACGTAGTTTTGTCGATTGTTCCAGCAACAAATAACAATAGCCGAATAGCCGAAAACGAAGATTTTCTTCATAAATTTTAAAATTGGTAAAAATACGTTGAAAAGTTGACTTGTTGACCTCCAACAGCTTCCCAGACCGCCCATTGACAACGTTTACACAAAGCATTCACAGGTAAGAACTCTGAGCTCCCTATAAATCTTTTGGCCCCCATCTATATCAGCACCTTTAGTTAGCATCAACGTCAAAACGACAGCCATATCCATTTTCAGATATAGACTGGAACATCCTTCAAAATAACGACAGATGTTCTCAAGCCAATATTTTATTCCGTCCTGAAGATTTATTTTTCAATTCAAAATATTCTGCCAACAAACCACCTGACACAACTACCCTATACAAATTTGAACAGTCATAGTAATTAAACCGTTTCAGATATTATTTTGTAGATAACTGTAAAAAAAAACTGCATTGAAAGGTGTTCCAGACACAGAGTTCATTTATGACAAAAGTTTTAAAACGAATTATTAATGAACGAAAAAACAAGGAAATATTCTTCCTTTTCGAACGACACTATTCAAAGCAAACTTCCACTTAGTGACAATTAGAAAACTTTTCACGTAACAGTCCGGAGATATTTCTGATATGTTCAAAAATTCATTAGTTCAATAAAAAAACTTTTTTAAAAAAATTACTGGAGAAGAAAAAGGACAGCAACCTTACTTTTCTCCTCTCCCCTCCAATCTTCACGCCTAAAAAATAGGCAAAATATTAAGACAGACGAAATAGAAAAAAAAAAAGATTCAACTACAAATATAAATTTTCCGGTTGTCAATAATTTAATTTTTTTTTTGTATTACTCAACAGATAATTCAGTCTAATATTTTTGCAAAAATAAAAAACAAATTCCATCAAATAGCGATCATATCCACTGGTAGATTTTAAAAAGTTAAAGTCGTCATCAGTAGCTGTCTGCCTACATAGATGGAATACAAATGTTGGTGAAAACTATCAGCACGCTTACTGCTGAAAAATTATTTTGATTTTTCAAGTCGTTGTCGAATGAGTGAGCAAAAAATAGCCAAAAAAAATTACCCATTTTTGATAAATTTCCGGTAAATATTGTAGAAGGTAAATTCTACCAAAGTAAATTTAGTGCCATAATGTTGCTTCTTCCTTTCTTCACCTCTTTTTTTTTTCACTTATTTTTCTTTAATAAGACTAGTATTATAGAAAAGTGGAAGACGCTCAACATCTACAGACTGCAAACGATTTCGACCAAAAAAAAAACCATTCGATTAGCTATGACTGTAATTTTTTTATTTTCTGCTTCTTTCTTTTCCCCATACTTTTCCCCACTCAAATCATTTGCCTCTCGCCTTTTTTCAGACCCTAAAACCATCAACCGTTGAAGCATGTTTTTTAACCTCTTTTTAAAAAGCCAGCGAAGACGAGTTGGTGGAATGAAATAAAAATGGAAAGCTGTAAGTGACAGCGAGAAGGATAAGTACCTTAATAACCAAAACCAATTCAGTGCTAAGTTTTGAAATTATTAAAATAAAACCTAATCAGTATTTGGTTTCCATTTCTTGAGTACAGTTGCAGCTTTTGACCACTCAAATTGTTGCAGAATTTGTAAAAAAAACAAATAAAATAAAAAAGTTTAAGAACCTGGAAGCGTTTTAAGAATCTAACAAAAAAACAGCAAGTAACAAATTTAATAAGATTCCACACCAACCTATGCTTTTTTAGTGAAATTAAGTATCAGAATCTTTTGAAATGTTGAAAATAAAATAGGAAAACAAAAAAGTTTAAAAAAAAGAAATGTTTGTTTAAAAAAGCAAGTCTGTCAATTTACATAGTAACACAAGTAGAACACAGTGTTCCCGTGCACTACCAACCAGAGTTAGTGTTATCAATATGGTGCTTCTGCCGCTTTGGAGTTATCCACATCTTACAGAAGCAAAATCACTTTTGGAGTCATGGCGATGAAACAATAATTGTCACAAGCAATGAAAACTGAATAACAAATCTTGTTTAATACAGTGAATAAACAAACAAACAGATTGAAAAAATACAATATAAAAAGCAATTTCAAAGAAAACATTAGAAAAAAAAGTTACCAAACTTTAGAATAAATTATTCACTCCTTTCGTCCCTATAATTTTTTTATTCTTACAGGCACTGTAGCTGTATTGTTAACCAAATTTTGGTTATTCAAAACAACAAAGGACGGAAAGAAGTCGAACTTGGACATCAACAGGACACGAAGGAGGAGAGATGAATAAAGATGACC